AGTGGCTTTGTGGGCATACTTCCAACAGCATCATTATTCGACCTAAGTGTCCCAAAAAAGTTCATGCCAAGTTAAGTAAATTGCTTAATCACCAAGCTCTAGGCCAGCCACATGTGGTGTGTTCCCAGTTAGGAGACAACCCATTGGCCCCAAATCAAAGCTTCAAGCTCATTTTTGGAGGTGGTGCAAAGATATTCCACTATATTTTTAGTTGTGTCATTTATGATCATTGTTCTCTTGAATATCCTTAAAAACTCAATGACATGGAGAATTTAAGGTCCCTTAAATGGTAATTCGGTACCATTCATACAACCAGGAGCGTGCCAATGCTCTTAATCAGGTTGGATAGACCTAAAGTCATTGTTAGAGATGTGATTTAGGTGTAAAGTTAGTGTGCGTAGTATCGCATTCATCCGGACAACTAACTTTCCCACATTCCTACTTAATCACATGTTTAATTGAATTGGTCACATGTATTACAAAACATGATTCAATTAACTCATATTCGAGAACAATATCAATAAGATTATCCATAAGTAAAACATACACCAAACTTGAATCCAAGAACATGGAAAAATGTTTACGAAGTAAATAGTTTAATAAAAGGATTCGGCCAACAAGGCTATCCATGTCAAAATTCTGCTATTCCAACGCTGTTCAGTGGAGCAAAATTAATTTTACATATTGACTACGAGAATGGTACTCCTCAACAACATTGGTAGAGGCACGAACATGTGCATAACTAATAAACTATTCCATCGAGACGGAAGTAGATTCTGCAGGGTTAAGATTTGGGAATATTATCCCTTATTCTTGAAGTTTTAGGTCTTAGGTGCTAAGGAACATACTTCGGGCATGACACCACACCTTGGCAACCCTGATTCTACCATATGTTGTAAAAACAAACTTGAAATTGGATTGTGAGAGAGACATACCTCGAACTGGATTCGGTAAGCTCTAGCCGAACTGGGTATAAAGTCATACCCTTCTCTCACGTTTGTGGTAGTAATCAGATTCAAGATTTTGGTAAACTTCCACTTTCTACACTACTGCTTCAGGAGCGAGTTAGAAACATGGAAGGACGAGAAAAGTATTCTCTAGTCAAAATTCAATTGGATTTATAAATTTCAGAATTGTACTCATTCATGGACGTAATCATGGTGTGCTTTAGGCAATGTTTTTCATGATTAGACTGTCCATAGGAGCGAGCCCAAGAGCCATGGTATCCTCGTTCAGGAGGTATTTCCATTTGTAATGCTTCGGGCATAAGTTTTCGAATGAAGATCATGGCAAAGGCTTATTCAGCTCTTCCATGCCATTGTTGGCTACAATGGTTTCTTAGATTCTTGATAGTCAGTGGAGATTCACGTCTTGTACCCTACATAAAGTAGTTTCTATTAGAAGCATCCAATTTAGGAAAATCGAACTTGTGACAGTTCAACAATCCACTAAATTGGAGGGAACAAGATTGTGATTAGTGTTATGGGAATGAATCATCCATAAGCATCAAAGTTAGAACATTCGAGTTCTAAGACATGGTTTTCATGAAAACCGTCGGGTTTTAATGGGTGTATTGTTTTATGAAAACTTCGGATTTCAAAGGCACTAAATTTGAAACTATAGGTTCAATTAGTTTATGAACGTTTAGTTCATAAAAATGAAGTTCCTGCAACACATAGTGCAATATACAACTAAGTGTAGTGGATTTAAGTTTCTTCGAGAACTCAAGTGTGAGAGCTTCGTTACTACGAAAGTATGTCAACGGTTCAAAGTATAAAAATAAATTATTAAATCGTTAATGTCCAAAAGTAATCTTCAGGTTAATAATTTTGGATTCATTATCAGATTAATGGACTTCAGGTCATTTTTAATTAATTCAATAAATCAGGACCAAACAGGATCGATTGTAGAAACAAAATAATATTAGAATAATATTATCGGATCGAAAATAGCATAGCCCAAAAGATAGGGTTGGGTGTCGTGAGCAAAAGAGGTGCTTGGAAATGGGCTGTAGGCCACGGGTCCAAGGGATAAACCCAGCCACGTGGGCTGGCTGAAAAACTGCTGGCCGAGGTTAATACAAGCCCAGCAAGCATGGCAGCTTGCTGGCGTGGGCTGAGACAAGGGATCAAGGTTGCAAGTCCGTGCCTGGGAACAAGCCCAACATGATTCTGGCATGTGGGTTTGGGCTCGGGTGGACTAGGGCTTTCAGGCCCGTATGACATGTAAGCCAAGTCGAGGCTTGGTTGTGTCTGATGTGAAGCAGCAGGCCCAAAAGGGCTGCACAGGTGCTCTAGTATGTCGACGCCCTCCCACGATGATGCCGTGGTGTTGCCAAGGTGATGCCAAAGATTACCCAAAAAATTTTCGAACCTAGGGTTTAGGAAACCCAAAATTTGCTTCAAATTTATTTTATATACATTGACTCACAAATTCTACATAGCAAATAAAATTGCTTAATGCATGAAACAAATATATGAACATATATAATATATATATCGAAAGGAAAATATAAACATAGGGGGTTCATGCATCATAGGGAATGTTTTCATGCTTCAAGGTTGTTTCAAATATTTTACTTTATTTTAAGCGTTCCTGATTTGCAGAAAACAATAAAAGCCTTTGAATTTGTAGAAGATCCTTCTCGGAAAGCCAGAATTGCATCTCCAATGCATTGTATCACGTTCAACATTGAAAAATTAAATTGAATCAATAGCATATATATATATATATATATATATATCAATTCAATTAAATAATAAATTAATCATAAAAATAATGATTAAAACGTAATACTCCCTTGATTGAAGAATAAATTCTCTTATTAGCGCAACGTCAAGAGTGTGCTGATAACGTATTCTAGGCATAATTTACTGAACAATTATGGAGGTCATAAAAGAGGGTGAGGCAATAGTAGAGAGAAGAGAGAGATGGGTAATTGTGAGGTGTGTTCTATTCCACCCCATTGTGCCTTTATTTATAATAGTAGGGAAGGTTAATTCCTTACCCTTTTAGGATTACAACTCTTAATAAGTAATCAACTCCTAATACGAATATAAGAGATATTCCTAGATACACTAAGATTTACACAATCACATTCCTAATTTAATAGGACTGCAACAATTCTTTTTTAGTTTGACATGTTTCCTTTTTTTCCTCTTGATTTTTTGTTCCTAGTATGTACCCATGTGGTTTTGTGTGTGTGTGTGTGTGTGTGTGTGTGTGTGTGTGTGTGTAATAGAATGTATCCATATATATTTTTGGGTACATTACTATAAAGGTCACTTACAATTTTTTATTTTTTATTTTTTTAAGAGAAACATAGGTAAACCCTTAAACAAAATAGGAAATTTGTTCTAGTCAATAAATAATTTCATATCTAATGAATATTTATTTTCTAATATCGATTAGTCAAACTGTTGTTGTCTTCAACTAAAGGTGAGAGAATTGTTTCTCTCCAACTAGTTACGGTCAGTAACAGTTGCTAGATTTCTCTTGATTGACCCCTCCTTAAAAGTACAAAATATTGATTGACTCAATCCTAAACAAGAATAGGTGATCTAAATGTTAGATAGGATTGATTGAAGTGGACTAACCCTAAGTACTTCAGAATTTTATTTTGAGATATGTTCACAGGAGAAATTTCCAAGTCCCAAGGAATTGAAGTTAGGTTAGTAAGTAATAAATCACAAAATGTTAGATAGGAGGGATTAGAATTGCATCATATATTAAGGCATATAAGAGTGATTTGTAAATACCTACTTAGAAGGAGCTACTCATTTATAAATCATTTCTACGCGACTTTGTAGTGTTCATATAGTGCACTTCTAATTCCTTAGTCGCTTGGCATCAATCCCCAGGACTTCCTTAAAAAAGCATCAGTTTCCTAATTTTTATGTTCAAATGTTTCTCTAGACTAGGTTGGTTGTGCTGTCATGGGACTTCAATTAGCCATACTGACATGAGTATCCATCCAATTATGAATCTTTAAATTGTGATGCAAAGAAAATTATCATGTCTTGAATTGTCATGTTTTCTAGTTTATGAAGTAGATTTGTAGAAAAGGTGAGAGTTTTAATCATGTGATCGTTCGGGAAGAAAAGCTAATATTATTGCTCTATTCATTATAATTTTTGACCGCACGATCATTGTTTTAGTTTATGTCATACACCTAAGCATTTATTACCATTCAGTTATTGTTTTAAGACATGTCATATCCCGGAGCATTTAGAATTTTCGTTGCAATCATGCCACGACTCCACTGTTTGAGGGTGACATCATTGGTTATCATCTTTTCCTTATCATTTATCTTAATAAAAATTAAAGAAATCCATCATCGTCTTTAAAATTCATCAGTCCAGCCCCACGCGGTTTTGAAGGTCTTGGAGGACAACTGGTGAAGGACCATCGCCTTGTCAGCTTGTGATCCAAAGTTCAAAATGTGGGGACGTACGTGTCCTCACTGACATCATTGCAAATGCTAGCTAAGTCGAAGAAGTAAACAAATTGGTTTTGAATTTTTATGTTCTACCTTCGCCATTTAATTTGTTCACACATGCGAGTGAAACGTCAATCACTTGGGGCGTCATCATCAGGTAAACATTATATACATGTGACATGCGCATCCCTTTCATGTTATAAAAGTCAAATGTATCATAAGATTCAATATTTCACTCCAACAAGAAAAATAAGAGAATTAATAAACATTTTTTTTCAGCTTTTTACGTACACTTGTTTAATCAAGATTGTTGATTTCATTTGATTCAGTCAATCTACAAGACATAACTAAAAATAGCTGAAAAAAAGAGAGAATTACCTTTCCAAAAACAACGATAGTCACCAACATTGGAGCACATCGTGAGCTAGCTAAAATTAAGCATTACATTACCGAACGACAATAAGTGTATAAAAACTTTAGCCCTAAACCCTAACACCTCATTCTGTGCCACGATGTGAGTTAGTATTGATGTTGTATTAGCATCTGTCTATCTAATATTGGCTGAACTGGTGAATGAAGAAGATATATAACTATTATGGATACCACACATAGATTGCAGAAAAGAAACAACTAGTAGTCTTGTACATAAATTTTACCGAATTAAAGAAAATTTGAAATCAAGAAGCATTACACTTATACAACAACATATGGTTGTGGAATTATCCAATGGATATATATTAATTCTAAAAGAAACAGAGGATAGAAGGATCGCAGCAACACTCGTCAATTAGGCAGCAGCAACACAAAGCCGCAAGACTGTTGACACCACATCCAAACAACAAACGCAAAAATAGATCATCAACAACTAGATATAACATATATAGAAATTAGATTTTAATTGTGAAAGAAAAGGAAACTAACCAGAAAAAAAAAAAAAAAAAAAAATGAATTTCATGTTAGATAAGAGATAGTTGAGAAAGTTTAATTACCATCCCTCAAGGAAACCTGGTTCTCTCCTGGGTGGAGGAGCAGCATATTGTCCATGCATCATAGTCTTCATGGATCGTCGTTGGGACTCAATGATGGATGAAAATAGCAAGTACTTTGAATATGCTCAACAAGAACTCCTAACCATGTCTCACTTGTGGCGTAGTGAAGTGAGGTGAGTCTTGGAATGATTCGAAGGTTTCACAACTAAGGTTATATTATGAACCTCCAAGATATTGCGATATCCTTAACGGTAAAGACATAACCATTTAGGGATTTTGCCTTATGTAGGTTTGATAAGTAACATGCGTCAACATAACAAACAAGACAAGCATCATTTCGAGGATCAGGAGGTCGGATCCGCTCGAGATCAACAGTGAAGGAGATGTCTTGTCTTAATATAATGAGCTAAGTACAACAAAGCGTAAAGTTGAACTTTAGATATGGAATTTCAGATTCCATAACGTTTTCAAGGGTCTCATTTGCATATAACATATGGACGATCAAAAGTATACTTAAAAGGTGACACCTTCAGGGTGTAGTTCGACTGGTAGACAAAAATACCGTCAGAACAATGCTTCAACTTCTGGTCAAGGCATAAACGAGTTTTCTCAAGATCCTTCATCTCAAATTCCATCTTCAGGTGTGAGGCAGTTTTCTCATGCTCTTCCGGAGTCTTAGTGAGATTCGTGTTAATGACATAAACTATAACTCTAGCAATTCGGAATAAGACTTCATAGTTTAACAAGCAAGGGCATAATTCATATCTCTGAGTGATCAAATAAACACTTAGATGGGTATACCATCTGTCGGATTTTTCAATCCATAAGTGAACACCTCAAAACAAGTTAAGAGGGTGTTCCATGGTTTGGAACTATTTGAACCAGTCCATGTAATTCTTCGGGAACTTACATGTAAATCTTTGTATCTATATCCCCATAGAGAAAACGCTAACCACATTTCATAATGCTGCTATCAATCACATAACATTTTGAGACAAACCTTGCGCCATAAGGTGTGCATCATATCGCACTATTTCATTCATCTTATAATGCTTCATTTCCCACTTGTAACACAACAGGGTTACCTTGGGCAGTGTAGGAACGATAGGTCCAAAACACACTTTGGAAAAGAATTTGACCTGGATTGTAACTTTAGTTGTCTAATCAGTTCTATGTTGTCATTTAATCAACGGAACATGGTTTGATGTCATCCCTTTTCATTTATGTCGATAGCTACCATATAAGTGAAAATATCATCGATGGTAATCTCATTTCAATTTCATTTAGCTCATCCAAACTAGTACACTAGACAAAGAACTTCAAGTCTCGGGAGTAATCCGGATTAATCTCATGAGATGGAAATGATTTGAGACAGCGATCAAGTATGGATTCATTATTGTGTCGTATCTTCCTCTTCTAAGGACATGAATCATATGAACCGAGTAATTTGTCGTGCTTCAGGCCAAGACAGATTGATTGGCTATCCACCGGTGTACCGGACTGTCTAACTGGGGTGCCTAAATCGTCCAACAAGGGTGACACACCTTCTAGGGATGTTGACTTAACGTCTATTAAATACGTCTATCATTACAAGCATGTTTACAGCTGGTATATGATCTCGTCACTTTAGCTAGATCAGAGGAATGCGTCTGGAGCAATATTCTGAAAGCTAGAATTTATCACACTTGCTTATCACACTTGTGCGGTATAGGGATCGAGATGAGACATAGTGGCCAATGTCCATGAAAATTCGCATCTTTCTACAGGAACGTTGACGTTCTTATCTCCCTTTAATGGCTGGAATACTGCCTCATTAAAGTGACCAACTCGCAAATGAGCGGTAAAGAGATCGTGTGCAAAGGCTCTAAGAGAGCTATTGTGAAGGAGAATCATAATCGACAGAGATTCACATCCTTCTTTGAGGATCCATATTGGTACATTGCGGCGGTACAACTTGGCACATGGAATGCACACCCAAATGTGTAAATACGAAAATTGTCAGGTTCGTACCTAGTAACCAACTATAACATCATATAGGTTAGGTGGCAGTGGGCCTCAAGGCGAACCAACATAGTTGCGTACAAGATTGCATAGCCCTAAGCAGAAACTGAAAACTTGGGACGTTTACCAAAATTCGGGCAATCATTTAAGTTGCGCTTTATGATCACTAGGCAAGGCTATTTGGGGTGAACATGGGAATTCGATGTTCAATTATAAACCCAAAATACATGCAATACTTTATCAAAAACCATCGATATAAACTCTTCGGCATTATCTAGTCTCCCGGACCTTAAGGGATAAGTAGGTTGGTGAGCCCTTAATCGACCATGAGGTTTAGCAGCAATGTGTATGGACAAACATGTGACCAGTTTGTCGATTCATCAACCAAAACCATAAGTATTTATATGGTCCGCATTTTGGTTGGATTAGTCCACATTTATTCCTTTGAATCCATTGTGAAAAGAAAGTCGTTTCGTATCTTTGCAAGGGACGATTTAGAAAATCAATTTTCTAATGAGCATGCTTGGCAAAGTGTGCTTGTAGGCACAAGATCCTTACTTCGGGTAAGGAGATATGTTGTAGCATCATTGTTCGACCTAAGTGTCCCAAAAAGGTCATGCCAAGTTAAGTAAACTGCTCAATCACCAAGCTCCAGGCTGGCCACATGTGGTGTGTTCCTAGTTAGGAGACAACCCATTGGCCCTAAATCAAAGCTTCAGGCTCATTTTAGGAGGTGGTGCAAAGATATTCCACTCTATTTTTAGTGGTGTCATTTATGATCATTGTTCTCTCGAATATCCTTAAAAACTCAACGACATGGAGAATTTAAGGTCCCTTAAATGGTAATTTGGTACCATTCATACAAAGAGGAGCGTGCCAATGCTCTTAATCAGGTTGGATAGACCTGAAGTCGTTGTTACAGATGTGATTTAGGTGTAAAGTTAGTGTGCGTAGTATCGCAATCATCCAGACAACTAACTTTCCCACATTCCTACCTAATCACGTGTTTAATTGAATTGGTCACATGTATTAAGAAACATGATTCAATTAACTCATATTCAAGGACAATATCAATAAGATTATCCATAAGTAAAACATACACCAAACTTGAATCCAAAAACATGGAAAAATATTCACAAAGTAAATAGTTTACTAAGAGGGTTCGGCCAACAAGGCTATCCATGTCAAAATTTTGCTCTTCCAACGATGTTCAATGGAGCAAAATTAATCTCACATATTGACTACGAGAATGGTACTCCTCAACAACATTGGCAGGGGCACGAACATGTGCATAACCAATGATCTATTCCATCGAGATGGAAGTAGATTTTGCAGGGTTAAGGTTTGGGAATACTATCCCTTATTCTTGAAGTTTTAGGTCTTAGGTGCCAAGGATCATACTTCGGGCATGACGCCACACCTTGGCAGCCCTGATTCTACCATGTGTTGTCAAAACAAACTTGAAATTAGATTGTGAGACAGACAGACCCCGAACTGGATTCGGTAGGCTCCAGCCGAACTGGGTATAAAGCCATACCTTTCTCTCACATTTGTGGTAGTAATTAGATTCAAGAATTTGGTAAAGTTCCACTTTCTACATTACTGCTTTAGGAGCGAGTTAGAAACATGGAAGGACGAGAAAAGTATTCTCTAGTCAAAATTCGATCGGATTTATAAACTTCAGAATTGTACTCATTCATGGACGTAATCATGGTGTGCTTCAGGCAATGTTTTTCATGATTAGACTGTCCATAAGAGCGAGCCAAAGAGCCATGGAATCCTCGTTCAGGAGGTATTTCTATTTGTAATGCTTCGGGCATAAGTTTTCGAATAAAGATCATGGCAAAAGCTTATTTAGCTTTTGCATGCCATTGTTGGCTACAATGGTTTCTTAGATTCTTGATAGTTAGTGGAGATTCACGTCTTGTACCCTACATAAAGTGGTTTCTATTAGAAGCATCCAATTTAGGAAAATCGAACTTGTGACAGTTCGACAATCCACTGAATTAGAGGGAACAAGATTGTGATTAGTGTTATGGGAATGAATCATCCATAAGCATCAAAGTTAGAACATTCAAGTTCTAAGACATGGGTTTCATGAAAAATGTCGGGTTTTAATGGGTGTATTGTTTTATGAAAACTTCGGGTTTCAAAGGCACTAAATTTGAAACTACAGGTTCAATTTAGTTTATGAACGTTTAGTTCATAAAAGAGATGTTTCTGCAAGAACACAGAATGCAATATACAACTAAGTGTAGTGGATTTGAGTTTCTTCGAGAACTTAAGTGTGAGAGCTTCGTTACTACGAAAGTATGTCAACGGTTCAAAGTATAAAAATAAATTGTTGAATCGTTAATGTCCAAAAGTGATCTTTAGGTTAATAATTTTGGATTCATTATCGGATTAATGGACTTTAGGTCACTTTTAATTAATTCAATAAATCGGGACCAAACATAGTCGATTGTAGAAACAAAATAATATTAGAATAATACTATTGGGTCGAAATTAGCATAGCCCAAAGGATAGGGTTGGGTGTCGTGAGCAAAAGAGGTGCTAGGAAATGGGCTGCAGGCCACGGGTCCAAGGGATAAGCCCAGCCACATGGGATGGCCGAAAAACTGCGGGCTGAGGCTAATACAAGCCCAGCAAGCATGGCAGCTTGCTGGCGTGGGCCGAGACAAGGGATCAGGGTTGCAAGCCCGTGCCTGGGAACAAGCCCAACATGCTTCTGGCATGTGGGTTTGGGCTCGGGTGGACTAGGGCTTTCAGGCCCGCATGACATGTAAGCCAAGTCAAGGCTTGGTTGTGTCTGATGTGGAGCAGCAGGCCCAAAAGGGCTGCGCAGGTGGTCCAGTTTGTCGACGCCATCCCACCGTGACGCAGTGGTGTTGCCATAGTGATGCCAAAGATTACCCAAAAAAATTTTCAAACCTAGGGTTTAGGAAACTCAAAATTTGCTTCTAATTTATTTTATATACATTGACTCACAAATTCTACGAAGCAAATAAAATTGCTTAATGCATGAAACAAATATATGAACATATACAATATATATATCGGAAGGAAAATATAAACATAGGGGGTTCATGCATCATGCGGAATGTTTTCATGCTTCAAGGTCGTTTCAAATATCTTACTTTATTTTAAGCGTACCTGATTTGCAAAAAACAATAAAAGCCTTTGAATTTGTAGAAGATCCTTCTCGGAAAGCCGGAATTGCATCTCCAATGCATTGTATCACGTTTAACATAGAAAAATTAAATTGAATTAATAGCGCATATATATATATATATCAATTCAATAAAATAATAAATTAACTATAAAAAGAATGATTAAAACGTAATACTCCCCCAATTGAAGAATAAATTCTCTTGTTAGCACATCGTCAAGAGTGTGCTGATAACGTGTTCTAGGCATAATTTATTGAACAATTATGGAGGTCATAGAGGGTGCGGCAATAGTAGAGGGAAGAAAGAGATGCGTAATTGTGAGGTGTGTTCTATTCCATCTCATTATGCCTTTATTTATAATAGTAGGGAAGGTTAATTCCTTACCCTTTTAGGATTACAACTCTTAATAGGTAATCAACTCCTAATAGGAATATAAGAGATATTATGTACACTAGGATTTATACAATCACATTCCTAATTTAATAGGACTGCAACAATTCTTTTTTAGTTTGACATGTTTCTTTTTTTTTTTCCCTTGTTTTTTTTGTTCCTATTATGTACCCATGCGGTTTTGTGTGTGTGTGTGTGTGTAATATAATGTATCCTTATATATTTTTGGGTACATTACTTTAAAGGTCACTTAGAATTTTTTATTTTTTATTTTTTTAAGAGAAACCTAGGTAAACCCTTAAACAAAATAGGAAATTTGTTCTAGTCAATAAATAATTTCATATCTAATGAATATTTATTTTCTAACATTTAGTAAAAACTGTTGTTCTCTTCAACTAAAGGTGAGAGCATTATTTCTCTCCAACTAATTAAGGTCAATAACAGTTGCTAGATTTCTCTTGATTGACCCCTCCTTAAAAGTACAAAATATTGATTGACTCAATCCTAAACAACAATAGGTGATCTAAATGTTAGATAGGATTGATTGAAGCGGACTAACCCTAAGTACTTCAGATTTTATTTTGAGATATGTTCATAGGAGAAATCTCCAAGTCCCAAGGAATTGAAGTTAGGTTAGTAAGTAATAAATCACAAAATGTTAGATAGGAGGGATTAGAATTACGTCATATATAAAGGCATATGAGAGTGATTTGTAAATACCTACTTGGAAGGAGCTACTCATTTATAAATCACTTTTACACGACTTTGTAATGTTCATATAGTGCACTTCTAATTTCGAGTCGCTTGGCATCAATCCCCAGGACTTCCTAAAAAAAACATCACTTTCCTTATTTTTATGTTCAAATGTTTCTCTAGACTAGGTTGGTTGTGCTGTCATGGGACTTCAATTAGCCATATTGACATGAGTATCCATCCAATTATGAATCTTTAAATTGTGAGGCAAAGAAAATTATCATGTCTTGAATTGTCATTCCATGCTGATGTTTTCTAGCTTATGAAGTAGATTTACAGAAAATGTGAGAGTTTTAATCATGTGATCGTTCAGGAAGAAAAGCTAATATTATTGCTCTATTCATTATAATTTTTTACTGCTTAATCATTGTTCTAGTGTACGTCATACGTCCAAACATTTATTACCGTTCAATTATTGTTTTAAGAGCATTTAGAATTTTCGTTGCAATCATGCCACGACTCCACCGTTTGAGGGTGCCATCATTGGCTATCTTCTTTTCCTTATCATTTATCTTAATAAAAATTAAAGAAATCCATCGTCGTCTTTAAAATTCATCAATCCAGCCCCACGCGGTTTTGAAGGTCTTGGAGGACAACTGGTGAAGGTCCATCGCCTTGTCAGCTTGTGATCCAAAGTTCAAAATGTGGGGACGTACGTGTCCTCACCGACATCATTGCAAATGCTAGCTAAAGTCGAAGAAGTAAACAAATTGGTTTTGAATTTTTATGTTCTACCTTCGCCATTTAATTTGTTCACACATGCGAGTGAAACGTCAATCACTTGGGGCGTCATCATCAGGTAAACATTATATACATGTGACATGCGCATCCCTTTCATGTTATAAAAGTCAAATGTATCATAAGATTCAATATTTCACTCCAACAACAATAAGACAATTATGGAGGTCATAAAAGAGGGTGAGGCAATAGTAGAGAGAAGAGAGAGATGGGTAATTGTGAGGTGTGTTCTATTCCACCCCATTGTGCCTTTATTTATAATAGTAGGGAAGGTTAATTCCTTACCCTTTTAGGATTACAACTCTTAATAAGTAATCAACTCCTAATACGAATATAAGAGATATTCCTAGATACACTAAGATTTACACAATCACATTCCTAATTTAATAGGACTGCAACAATTCTTTTTTAGTTTGACATGTTTCCTTTTTTTCCTCTTGATTTTTTGTTCCTAGTATGTACCCATGTGGTTTTGCGTGTGTGTGTGTGTGTGTGTGCGTGTGTGTGTGTGTAATAGAATGTATCCATATATATTTTTGGGTACATTACTATAAAGGTCACTTACAATTTTTTATTTTTTATTTTTTTAAGAGAAACATAGGTAAACCCTTAAACAAAATAGGAAATTTGTTCTAGTCAATAAATAATTTCATATCTAATGAATATTTATTTTCTAATATCGATTAGTCAAACTGTTGTTGTCTTCAACTAAAGGTGAGAGAATTATTTCTCTCCAACTAGTTACGGTCAGTAACAGTTGCTAGATTTCTCTTGATTGACCCCTCCTTAAAAGTACAAAATATTGATTGACTCAATCCTAAACAAGAATAGGTGATCTAAATGTTAGATAGGATTGATTGAAGTGGACTAACCCTAAGTACTTCAGAATTTTATTTTGAGATATGTTCACAGGAGAAATTTCCAAGTCCCAAGGAATTGAAGTTAGGTTAGTAAGTAATAAATCACAAAATGTTAGATAGGAGGGATTAGAATTGCATCATATATTAAGGCATATAAGAGTGATTTGTAAATACCTACTTAGAAGGAACTACTCATTTATAAATCATTTCTACGCGACTTTGTAGTGTTCATATAGTGCACTTCTAATTCCTTAGTCGCTTGGCATCAATCCCCAGGACTTCCTTAAAAAAGCATCACTTTCCTAATTTTTATGTTCAAATGTTTCTCTAGACTAGGTTGGTTGTGCTGTCATGGGACTTCAATTAGCCATACTGACATGAGTATCCATCCAATTATGAATCTTTAAATTGTGAGGCAAAGAAAATTATCATGTCTTGAATTGTCATTCCATGCTGATGTTTTCTAGCTTATGAAGTAGATTTACAGAAAATGTGAGAGTTTTAATCATGTGATCGTTCAGGAAGAAAAGCTAATATTATTGCTCTATTCATTATAATTTTTTACTGCTTAATCATTGTTCTAGTGTACGTCATACGTCCAAACATTTATTACCGTTCAATTATTGTTTTAAGAGCATTTAGAATTTTCGTTGCAATCATGCCACGACTCCACCGTTTGAGGGTGCCATCATTGGCTATCTTCTTTTCCTTATCATTTATCTTAATAAAAATTAAAGAAATCCATCGTCGTCTTTAAAATTCATCAATCCAGCCCCACGCGGTTTTGAAGGTCTTGGAGGACAACTGGTGAAGGTCCATCGCCTTGTCAGCTTGTGATCCAAAGTTCAAAATGTGGGGACGTACGTGTCCTCACCGACATCATTGCAAATGCTAGCTAAGTCGAAGAAGTAAACAAATTGGTTTTGAATTTTTATGTTCTACCTTCGCCATTTAATTTGTTCACACATGCGAGTGAAACGTCAATCACTTGGGGCGTCATCATCAGGTAAACATTATATACATGTGACATGCGCATCCCTTTCATGTTATAAAAGTCAAATGTATCATAAGATTCAATATTTCACTCCAACAAGAAAAATAAGAGAATTAATAAACATTTTTTTTTTCAGCTTTTTACGTACACTTGTTTAATCAAGATTGTTGATTTCATTTGATTCAGTCAATCTACAAGACATAACTAAAAATAGCTGAAAAAAGAGAGAATTACCTTTCCAAAAACAACGATAGTCACCAACATTGGAGCACATCGTGAGCTAGCTAAAATTAAGCATTACATTACCGAACGACAATAAGTGTATAAAAACTTTAGCCCTAAACCCTAACACCTCATTCTGTGCCACGATGTGAGTTAGTATTGATGTTGTATTAGCATCTGTCTATCTAATATTGGCTGAACTGGTGAATGAAGAAGATATATAACTATTATGGATACCACACATAGATTGCAGAAAAGAAACAACTAGTAGTCTTGTACATAAATTTTACCGAATTAAAGAAAATTTGAAATCAAGAAGCATTACACTTATACAACAATATATGGTTGTGGAATTATCCAATGGATATATATTAATTCTAAAAGAAACAGAGGATAGAAGGATCGCAGCAACACTCGTCAATTAGGCAGCAGCAACACAAAGCCGCAAGACTGTTGACACCACACCCAAACAACAAACGCAAAAATAGATCATCAACAACTAGATATAACATATATGGAAATTAGATTTTAATTGTGAAAGAAAAGGAAACTAACCAGAAAAAAAGAAAAAAAATGAATTTCATGTTAGATAAGAGATAGTTGAGAAAGTTTAATTACCATCCCTCAAGGAAACCTGGTTCTCTCCTGGGTGGAGGAGCAGCATATTGTGGAGGTGCCACTACTGGAGGGCCTTGGTAATAACCTGCACAAAATTAAAATTATAACTTAAAACAAAAATTTACAAGAAAATTAAAAAAGAACTAAACTAGTGAGCTATTTCTGGCACTTCAAAGCCGTCATCATGAATGGAGTAAATTAATGAACGCACGATGAATATTTTGGAGCGTTAATAAAACTAGCTTAAACTATACTCAAACAAGAATCCATCACATACAGTGGCATAGAAGATTGGTATTAGGAAACTAAAATTTATAATTAATTACATACTAATCCATGTTAAGAAATACAAAAAGCACACTTACTGTTGATCAACTACAAATTAAGAGCAAAAATGAAAACTTTTATATAGTTAAAACCAGGGGAGAGAGTTGAGTTTTGAGACCAACAAAGGGCATCAAAGAGAAGGCGCAAATTGATAACCTGAAAAAACCAACTGAAATAAACTTTTTTTGGTACATAAAAAGGTGAAATTAGTTCAGAAAATACCTCCTTGAGGGGGATAACCCCCTTGAGGGGGATAATAACCCCCTTGAGGGGGATAACCCCCTTGAGCAGAATAACCCCCTTGAGCAGAATAACCCCCTTGAGCAGGGTAGGGATAACCATATTTTTGGTCGGCCATTTCTGCTAAACGGTGACGGAGACGGACTCAAGCTTTTGGACTGAAAGGAAGGGCAGACTCAGGAGATGGCGAACTGAGAGTTATGGGAAGGGACAACTCTGGTTTCTATTGCTTTTATAGTAATAATAAGTAAAATGTGGAAAAGGTTCTGGTTTCAAACCAGACACGCTTTTTTTTTTTAACCATATACGAAAATTGCAGGCATCACTTTTAATGCACTTTAATTCCTTTTCCACCCTCTCAACGTTCCTGTCTCTCCTCTCTCTCTCTTTTCTTGATATCCCACAGGATATGATTTGGGCACTCCTACATTATTTTTCTTATGTTTTAATGTTATTAAGAACTCGAATCAAATTCAAATCAAATTATTACGCACGCGTGGTTTATATCGATTGATATAGTATATTTGTCTGTTACATCAAGTTTGAATTTTTTCATTTTAATCAAAGTAGTTAAAAATATTGCCCTGTAGAAAAGATAGGGTAGTGTTATTTACACACAAATTTTTATCTCTTACACATTTTTTTTTATTTTCTTCCATCAGATTATATGAATTGAAGAAGATCAATAGATAAGATTAACAAGAGTGTGTGAAAAGAAAAAATAGATGCGTAAATAGCCATTTAAAAGATAAAGTCATTGATCATGTTCATTAAGGGAAAAAAAAATCAATTTATTAAGTTTATATTCAATTTTTTTATATAGTAAATATACTAGAGTGAGTATGCATGCTCAGACATTATGTTTGTGTAAATATTAAAAAAATTGAAAAGAAAAAAAAAATATGTGAAAGAGAGGAATTTGAGAGAAATGTGAAAGAGAGAGGGATCGAGAGAGCGTGAAAGACATTTAGATATTTATTTTTAAATTTAAAATTAGAGCTATACTATCATGACATGTACGTAAAGAAAAAGAATCAAAAAATTGATTTGTTCGAATTTATATTCTGTCCATAATTTTATTTTGTGATTGAAAACTATAAAGTATTTTTACCTGAAGAAGAATTTTGTCAATAGATATCTTAGATACCGGAGTGAGCAGGCATGCATGCACATGGAGAAGAGTGAGTGAGATCAATTTTAAAATTAATTTAATCTTTACTGGTAATTTTATTTGAGAACTTTAACGAAAAGCTCCCGGTACCATTCATTTTAACGAAAAACCACAGTTTTACACTAAAAAGTCAATCATGTACTATTCACTTTACCCTTTATTTATTTTGTTCTTATCGTTAAAAATCGAAATTTGAAGTCATTTTCATTAGTTTTCCTTTTTTATATTTGGTATTGCAATCCCCAACCAAAGAGAAATTAAAGAATAGAAGGAGAGAGTAAACGGGAAACAAAAGGGCACTTTAACAAAAAAAACTTTCGGTATTGTTCATTTTAATAAAAAATCACATTTTTACACTAAAAAATCAACTTTGGTAGTATTCTAAAGTTCTTATCGTTAAAATTTAAAGTTTTCAAAACCTTTTCATTAGTTTTCCTAAAAAAAAGGGAGGGGGTGAGACATTGAGTTAGGCCAGACACTAAGTACTGAATAATACAAATATAATAAGTTTTTATCATCTATATAAGTTGAACATTAGTTCTGTCACCTGTAAGTGAATACAAATAGGAAAATGCTATGGAGATCACATTTTTGTAATACATGTCATGTCAATTAATAAATTTATTCATATTGGATTTTTTATTTTTTATTTTTTTTTAACAAACTATAATTTTACTGAGGTTAAATTGTTAAACGTTTGGGGGAGGAAATAGACAAAGATTGAACCTACACCGATGTGCATAAAAATTATTGGTTTCTACCACCGCTAGTCATCTGCCACATCATATGATACAAAAATGTGATCTCCCTACCATTAATCGTAAAAATATCAGTTAGACTATGACTATTGCAAGAACTCTTAATCAATTAAAGTAAGATTTTCTTAAATTTTCAAATTAATTTACAAACGATACTTATTTACATGAATTATTCTTTATCTCATGGGTACTCGAATGTGTTCTTGCTTCGTTCTTCCGCGAGTCCCTGTGATTTGCCACCCGTATGTGAAATTGAAAACATTTTAATTGTTTTCATTCATTAGACAAAAAAAAAAAAAATTGTTTTTCATTCCCTCCAAAATTTACTATTTTAGAGTGCTTATTCTTTTTTTTTTTTTTTTCTTTTTTCTTTTTTCTTTTTCCTGAAAGAGGAGTGCTAGCTAGTTTTTATTCTTGGCACGAGAAACCCGGTTACGTGAGGACAAATGTTTACTTCTGCATACGAAAGGGTGGGAATACGAGGCTAGCTGGGTCCATGCGAAGACTTTACTTGGAGAAATGACTTTACTTCTGCATACGAAGACTTTACTTGGGGAAATGACTAGCTAGTTCAAGACCGCTTGGGTCAGGCTAAATTAGCATCTGTGAGCAGGACTCAGGCAGGCATATCCGGAAGAAAAAGTGCAGCACGTTGTGTTGCAAGTTGGAAGTATCCAACCATGCTTTACTTTTGCATACGGAACCGAGTCCTCGGCGGTGGGAAAAAATGGATTTATGTATAATCCGCCGTGTGGAATGAAGCAGAGGCGGAGCTACTAAGGCGCAAAGAATCAAGTGGGGGAGGAGGATAATGCTGTTCTTATTGGTCCGGTTCATGAGGAAAAGATAAGGGAGGTTGTTTTTCTATTAACCCTACTAAATCTCCGGCTCCGGATGGTTTTAGTAGTGGTTTCTACCATAAGTTTTGGGAGGTTGTGGGGGATGACGTGACGGCAATGGTAAAGAACTTTTTTCTATGGAGTTATTCGTGCGGGGCGACGTGTTGTTTATCTGATGTCAATGTATCAAGTCGTCTTTGATTATTAATAATATCAGTCTACTTTTTTATCAAAAAAAAAAAAAACTTCAATTGTTAGAAATATTAAGGAACTTTAACGAAAAGTTTTCGATATTGTTTATTTTAACTAAAAATCATATTTTTACATTAAAAAATCAATTATGATACTATTTACTTTAGCTTTTATTTTGTCCTTATCATTAAAATTCAACATTTTCAAATCATTTTCATTAATTTTTCATAAAATATAAGATAACAATTTTAATGCAACAACTCCTCCAAATGTGAAAAAAGCGAAGCCTTTATACCAACCGCATACGATGAAATGATATTATTATACTGCAGGCTTTATCTTGATGAGATGAAGAATGCAAAGGAATTATTATTTTTAGTCCAAAATTCTAAACGATCATGTGATGTGGAATGATCCAGTTGGAATGAATCGTTTATTTCCCTAGAAAAAGCCTACTTGTTCAATTGTAGGCTTTATTCTGCTTTCGGTCACGTGTTTTGGAATTTTCAAATGGATTGCCTTTGAGAGGAATAAGTTCTATCTCCATTTGAGCGTACGTGTTTAAACATTAACTATTCGTGAAAAAGTTATGGGTTTCAATCTTTATATAATAATACCCTAATTTATAATATAAACCATAGACATTTAAAAAAAAAAATTATTATTAAGGAGAGTGGGGATGATTTGAAAGTATTACAATAATTTAGAGGATGATAAATCTTTTCGAACTTGGGATACATAGGTAAAAACACAACATTCTATCTATTAAGGGCTTATCTGGATGTGTTTTTAAAATGACTGAAAGCGCTTTTAAAGAAGATATTTTTTTGTTCCAAAAGTACTTAAAGTGTTTTTTGCAAGAAGAACTAGTTATATGCTTCTTCGAGGAAGCACTTTAAGTGCTTTTTCTAAAATTTACTTACATTTTTATTAAGGATTGGTTTCAAAAATATTTTCACCAAAAACGTTTTCAATCATTTTAAAAGCACATCCAAACAACTTTTAAGATATTAAACTATATGTATAAACCCTGGACTATTTGAAATAATAGAAGATACTGTCACCAATAAGTATGTGATAGAACTTCATATTATAAATTATTATATAAAGATTATCTCAATAAAAAAACAATAAAAACAAAAATAAGTGAGAATATATTCCTAATGAAGTGGTTTAAGAACTTTTTTTTTTTTTTTTTTGATAAAAAGTGGTTTAAGAACTTTGGCATAGTATAGGAGCAGCCTTATTCTCTGGCAGCCAATTTGAGGCTCAAGAGTATTTAAAGTTAAATATATAAAAAAAAAAAAGTGGATAGGGTAATTAACAATTTGCAAGGTTGAAGTTTCCTTGTTACCAGCAAAGCAAAAACTGGTTTGGAGGAATCTGAAGTTGTGTATTAGTTGGCTCGAGCTATGTTAGCTATAATGTTATTGTATGGACTCAATATTACGTCATTGGTCCGTGCAATTAAGGTTGTTGAATGGACATTTTGGGATGATCTTCTGTGCTCTTGACATGTGGCACCTTGGGTGGTAAGAAGCAACGGATTGCACGTGGCCATGAAGCATAGCCTACAACCTTAGTCCAACATACTAGACTTAAGCCCATTGAAGATATTACTTATCTCACAAGTAAGAAAGCCCTAAGTCAAGTCAAATTAATATATCTTGGGGTTGGAGGTTAGACAACATAATCGTAATCTTAGGAGGATTGGATATCTTATCCTAGAATTTCTCCTAGATAGTCTTCCGTCAAAAGGTATGGTATAGTAGCCCATCCGAGCGAACCTCTGGGATCTCTTATAAACTCCCATTGGGATTACTCTCCCTACAAGGATTCTTAAGAAGTTTTTTATAAATACTCAAGTCTGGGCATTTATCATGGACAATTCTTCATCTTCTCTATAAAACTACTACACACATATTCTCTCTATGTCTAACAGAGTCTCATCTTGCATATATGCCACCGTCTACGCATAGACATATCATGGGGAATCATCTCCTTTACGCCCCGCCATAGTTCTAAAGAAAAATGGTTTCACACACTTCACACCATTCTTCTTTAGAACTACATCGGTGGTTTGATTCTCTTTCTCGGACATATGTACGTAGTCCAATTTGGATTCAACTACACTGCCTTATCAATCCCATTCTCCTCTCGGGAAAGATCATAGGCAAATTTTGATTGGATCTCCCCTCCATCGGCTAATGCGCGCAAATTTGGTTCCAACAATTGGTGCTCTCATTGAGAGCTAAACTCATGTTGCCTTTATCAGCATCCTTTACCATGAGCGACGATGAAAGCCCAAAAATCCTAAAGATGGGGTTTCACTGATGATCTAAAAAGGAAATCTTTTGCGGTTCATAACAACCACCAATTCTAGTGACTCACACGAAGAATGCTTTTTTAATGAACTTGTTGTTGCTATTGTCCATGATCAAGGACTGGTTTTTCCAGCAAACACAAAAATGATGGTTTCTAATACCTTTGTTTATTTTCTTCCAATATCTTAATTGTTTTGAAAGTTTAAAACACTTTAACGTGAAGCAACTAGGAGCATTGTCTGACTACATGTTATGGATTTGCGAAATGGATATGTGTTGATTGCACATCCTCTTTTTTTTGTTTTTTTGATCATGCATCATTGGAATAACTCAATCCAACACCATTCTGACGAGTACAATGAAGTCATCATGGGAAGAAGTTCATTGGGGGAAAGTCAACCTTAGAAAAAGGCATAAAGTTCAACTCTAGAGTTTCGTCTCGAGTTCTTCGAAGTTTCGAACTAAACAACGGACCATGACAATTCTACAACGCAGCTCCGCATTTGACCCAAAGCGCAATGAACTAGGGGCATCTCATTCAGAGCACATCACAACTCCGCCTAGCAGAGACTCTCCGCTTGTCTATGCCAAAGAATCCCCGAATCGGATCAAAACAAGGTGCTATTCGCTGCAAGCTCCGACTAAATGGTTAGTCAAGGCACATAATAATGCAGCCAAACTTGGCTTATTCCGAAAGTAACAAACATGGACCTAGTTCACAAAGACCTTCCAAGCTAGGAAGCAAAGGCAGGTTTGGCTCTATGTGGACGAAATACCTCATCATAAGTTTGACTTGTAGGCCTTTCATCTAAAGTCTACAATCAGCTTTTCGTGCAACTTAATATGAGTCCATCTGCATTCTGATTGGAGCAAGTGCTCGCAAAGCTCTAGGGGCAATGTAATCATGCCTAAAACCCATTATGCGCACTTGAATGATTTTCAGCGGAAAACTGACTTCCTGGATGATTTCGACACAAGACCAGTGGAGGGACAAAAGTTAAGATGCTAAAGATTGTTGTGTCAAATTTTCAGAATTTTCTACACAACTAATCCTTCCAATTTTTTTTAACAAAAACAATCAAAGCTACATTCCTATCAGAATTGCACAACTGTGGAAAAACGAAGATTTTGAAGCTTTCTCGATTTAGGGTGTGCTATCCACACACCCCTTGTTGATTTCTATCCTTTGATCTTCTTCAATTCATCTGTTTCGACGGTCGAAAATTAGAAGCGTAAGTGAAATGTTAAAAAGGGTGTGTGGATATCACACCCCTCTCGATTTTTCCAATGACATGACATATATGCTTGGAAAGAAACAAAGAGAGCTACAATGTTCTTTCTTTTTTAGAATTTTCAGGAAGACATAACGGTATCAAACCTGGCATGCAAAGAAGCTGAACACAAGCTAGCCCAACCGGCACATTGTAGCAGCACTGTTAATTGACAGACTAAACTGTATTTCCTTAAAGTGTTTAGATTTTTTTTTCGTACACCATCGTGAAATCTTTCTATAAAATTTTACAAAACACAATTTTGAGTTACATGGACAACGTTATTATTGTTTTACCAATCATAGTGCAGGTTGGAATTCTCTGCATAATTCCTCAAGATTGTTCCTTCAAACTCATATCAAACAATCCGCAACAACCTATGAGTTCAGAACACACAGTCATGATCAAGCTAATGGTTAGGTTCCAACCAATGCAAGTCCACTCCGACAAGCTAAAATCTAAAATCACTCACAAAGCACTGCATGACTACTCCTACACCACATGACCGTAATATATCCAGATTCCTACACATGAAGAAGTCCAAGCAACATATTACTTCGGTTTCCTCTGCAACTATCTTGAGTAAAGTGGATCGGAGTAAGTTCGCCTTCGTAGTCCGGTCATGGACTAAAAATCTTCCATCTCGGAGTTGCACAAATAGATTAGTCATGCAACTATCATCTTGTTTTGGAGCCTCGTTGAGATTGACCATGGTTGTTCCACAATCTAGAGATTGTATGCACCGCAAGTAATCACATTTCTAAGAGGATGCACTATCTACTCCTAGATATGCACTGGGATTCTCAAATGCTTCGTTGAAAAGGAACGAGGAAAACAACTGAAAGACCCATCCAACGGGTGAAAAACCTTAGTTCAAACCATGGTAGTGCCCTAACAGATAAGTATGTTTGATTATTTAATTGTATACTTGATTAAATATATATTCAGAACAGAAGACTCAAAGTTGAGAATGATTTTTTCAGATCCTCGTGCATTTGTTTGTTCTTTCTTATACAATTCATTGCGGTACAAAGAATACCCTAAATTCCTAAAATAACACACATCTTTGAAACTTGGCATAATTGCAAATCTAAAAATTCGAGTTGTCTAAGTATTTTGTTCAAAATGTGGCTGTTGGTGGCAAAATCACCAGATACTATTATCCGGTCTATATGGAAAGTCTTATGGTTGTGGCGAAAGGTTCAAGCAAGGATTTTCCCACAGCAGAAGAAGACGAGTGTGTTCACGATCACTTGATAAGAACTGATCGTGAAGAAGATCAGCTTGATCTTGAAGGGGTCAAGTTTGACAACGTTGCGGGTGCCTTTAATTGTCTTGAGCATGCATCCTGGTCGTCTAATGTGGTGAATTATAATGAGATTCTAGTTTCGCTTGACAAATATCATGGCAGGTAAGTAAGAAATGAAGAGAAATAATTTCTCTGTGCATCGAAACACTGGTTTGTCACTGCATTTCCTTGCCAACATTTTGACATAAATTTCAAGCGTCTGTTTGACATAAATTACATTAATTAATTTCAACTGAGACAAAGTGTTGTATATCTCCTACCATTAATACATGTTCACCCAATGGCAATATCCTTTCCCCATGCTCATCTGCAAAGGTTAGATGTGTACAGGGATCAACTAGAATGGATGCTGTAGTATATTGGTTTGAAACCGTATACACACGGTTAAATCCGATCAGCTGTTGTAGTGGAGCACCCTTGACTACTTTTGGCACTCTGGAGAACAACATCACACTATGGCCTCCATCCTTGTCTCCGTTATTCTTCACAGCGATTTCAACAAAGAATCTCAAAGAATCACACGACGTTACCTCATCAATGTGTAAATGGTCAAGTACATCTCCAGGTTGGTGTAGTACATTTTTACTCAAATCTACCTTGAAGGGTTTTGATAAGCTTAACTTTTTTGGCGCTGATACGATATTGTAAGTGAAACTACTATAGCTTAACCCATGCCCGAATCCATATAGCCTGTCCCCAGTGTAAAACCGGTAGGTTCTTCCAGGGTAACCTAAAGAAGGATCAGCCCTCATGTTCATATTATTCATTGGTACATTGGTGAATGACTCAGGATACCAAGTCATAGGCAGCCTTCCACCTATTTATAATCATATCAAGTCATCATGTTAAATTTTGCCTTCGAAAATCAAAATCGACTCATGCCATTTACAATGCGTCCTGTTTCTGTATCAATTTTAAATTTCGTCTTTACAATTATATTTCGAGAAACAACTCCATTCTAGAGGACTGCATGTAGACGTGATTTCGTTTTATGCAAAACATAAACTCCATAAAAGAATATTCATGTTGTCCAAATATTTACCTGGATTAAAATCTCCAAAGATGACTTCTGCTAGTGCTCTCCCGCCAGCCTCCCCAGGGTACCCAATCCAAAGAATGCTTGGAATTCGCATATCTTCTTTGGCAAATGTTACATCAAGTGGTCCACCGCCAGCAAGAACTAGAATCACTGGTCCTTTGCTTGCAGCAGCCACAGAAGATACAAGGGCCATCTGTTTACCAGGTAAGAGAAGACTAACTCGATCGTGATCTTCTCTTTCTTGCGATGCATCAATACCGACGACTATAACAACAAAATCAGCTTTTTTTGCAGCGTAAATTGCTTTTTTGAACCCAGCATCAGACATACATGGTACATCCTGGCAGCCAGCTACATAAGATGTTCTAGTTGAGTACTCTCGAAGACCCTCAAAAGGACTCTTTGGGTTGCAGGGAATTCCTATAATCAAAGAACCAAAACCACAGAACATCTTTTAGCCTAATGGCTCTCATCATATGCTCTAATTACTATGCTTGGTTAGTAATTTAAACTCTGAGTAACATCTGAAAAACATAAATAGAAAATTTTGGAACCCAGTAATTAATCACAAAATATGCAAAGATTTTGAACGAAGAGTAGTAAGATAAATCTCTACTTTGATGGAGAGGTGGAAGCCATTCTAATTTTCATGATCAAATTGCCATCTCAATAACTGAAAAAATCTATATATATATACATATAGAGTCCAAGAAACTTTATATAATATGGCACTCTAGTAAAAAATGTAGTGTAGTAAATCTTACCTGTGTAATCCCCACCCAGCAAACTTGCATTGTTTGCCAATGGACCAATGACAGCCGAGGAAAAATCAACACCCCTTTTTAAAGGCAAAAACTTCTTATCATTTTTAAGGAGCACAATTCCCTGCCTTGCTGCCTCAAGTGCCAACGTCTTATGCTCTGAGGTACAGACATCCTGAGCTCCAAAACTACCAAATTTCCCTTTTCTGGGATCTCCATTAAATAACCCAAGACGGAGTTGAACAGAGAAAAGATTGAGAAGCGCCTTGTCTATGTCTTCCTCTTGCACCTTCCCTTGTTTGATTGTAGATAGAGTATTTCGGAGCAAGTATGTGCCACAATCAATATCCGTCCCTACAAATAGGCAATCAAATTTCTAACTTCTCAAAACAAATCTAATCCAAACATTTGCCGTTAATAGTCAATGCACAAAACTTTCAAAAATTTTAATGGAAAGAAACAATGATAAAGACCTGCTTTAAGAACATCAGCAACTGCATCCTCGGGACTTTTTGTGTAGTTCTGATATTCAAACACTGTGGCCACAGCATCACAGTCTGAGGTGATATATCTATAAGTATATATATGATATGAGAGTTGTTAATCTATTAAGATTGAGTATGTAATATTTTCAATTATAATTTTTTTCAAAGAAAGAGCAAGACGAAACTTTTACCCTTTGAATCCCCACTCGTTCCGAGCCTTATCCAAGAGATCCTTCTGTGCACAGGCAGGAACCCCATTTACAGCATTGTAAGAACACATTAAGCAGCTAGCTTTACCTTGTTGTATACAACTTCGAAAAGGCGGCTGAAATGTATCCTCCAAATCTTGTTCTGAAACCTACTAAAAAGAAACGAATTAGACTCCAAATCCCACAATGTCCTTTATTTCAATTTTCACCCACAATTTAACAACTTTGCAGATATACACAAAACTGAATTTGCACAAGCTAAAACACGTTAAACCCAAATGAAATTAAAATTAGCTAAAAATTCCAAGAAAATCAGAAAGTGAAAGGAAAGTCTCTTACCACAGCATTGAAGCTATATCTACTAAAATTCCTCCACGACTCCAAATCATAAGCAGTGAAATGCTTGCAACAAGCAGAGAGCATTAAACTATCACCCCTCTCATCACTTTCCAACACTGTCCTCGCTCCAAGCCCACCATCTCTAATTCCCCCACCCTGAAAACCCTTCACAAACTCAACAGCATAAGCAGAAGCAACCATGGGGTCCTCCCCAGGGGTCTCCTGACCCCTCCCCCATCTGGGGTCCCTAAAGATATTGATATTGGGTGCCCAAAAAGTCAACCCAGCTTGCCCAAAATTGTACATTGCTCTGGCCTCAACAGCAATGGCTGCCCCGATGGAGGACCAGAGAGTCCTGTTGAAAGCAGCTGCTGTGACAATCACTTGTGGGAAGCTTGTGGCTGAAGGGATGGTGCCATTGAAGGAGACACCAGGGCCGTTGGTGGCTATGCCGTGGAGGGACTCGGACCACCATTCGTAAGGTGGGATGCCAAGTCTGGGGATTGCAGAAGCGCTGTTTGAGAGCTGTTGGATCTTTTCTTGGAGGGTAAGGAGGGAAATTAGGGACTGAGCTCTGGTGGGGATCGGGAGGGAGTTGTTGCAGAAAGGGTAGGAGCTGTGGTGGGGTGGCTTGCATGGGAATTGAAGATGGGGATTTGATGATGTGAACGGCTGGGAATTGGTGGAGCAGAGATTGAGGAGTTGTAGGAGGAGGAGGAAGAGGGATTTCCAGTGATGAGGCATCGAGTACAGAGAAGGAATGTTGGAGTTCCAAGAGTTTCTCCTGTATTGGGGGAAAGACTCTACTTGCAAACTTGCATACGACGCACTTTTTCTGCTAAGATTTACAGAGTTTGGATTTGGATTTTTGTTATAGGTTTCAAAATCTTTTGATCTCGGATTTATACAATGCCTAACACCAGCAAACTATTGATCTTTATTAATACAAAGTATGAAATTGCCATTTTAGCGGATTGCGCTTTATTTCGATGACATAAAACCATCGTATATATATACTTATATAGTTCTAATTCAATTTCTACAAATTCTTCTCTCTTAACAATTTAATTATATAGCGTGAAAAATAACATCGTTTGCTTTCTGTTTATTAGTATAGATATGGGGCTAGCTTAGAATTGTGATGCTTTTAAAATTAGTTTATTAAAAAAACTAATCATTTGCAAAGACAAAATTGAATGGATGGACCAACAATCGAATTATGAACTTGGGCCATTAAGAGCTATCCTTACCCAACCCACACTATATTTTTGTGTGTGTGATAATGACATGTTATTTTCATATTCTAAATGGTAGCACTTTAAAATTTTCATTTTACATTTTTTCATAATAATTTTCTTTCTAATTATAGAAATTTTGGAGTGCAAAATGAGATTTTTAGAGTGTCAATAATAATTCCCTTCCAAATTTTGAATTATTATTAGAAAAAGGGTGATTTGTGGATAAAACATGCATTAAAATTACACTTTTGAAAAGTAGCTAGCCTTGTCAAAGAGAACTTACATAGAACGGATTTTTTGCATGTGGTGTTTCAGGTCAAATATCACGATGGTATGTATAAATTTTTCTTCACATGGCATCACATTATTAGATTAGGATATTATGTGGTAATAAACTCGTTATATGTAAGTGGTTTTCTTTGGCTATGAGCAAAGAATATTTCCATGCGTACAACACAATGGACCAAGTTTTGTGAGCAAACAAACCTCTTCTCCGAATCAATTTTTCTAATCTGCTATTTACACTATGAACATTAGTGTTATCTTACTTGGACTACTGCGGAGCTGTGGTGGGAACATGAGAATATGACTCAAAACCGACGCGAACTAGTTAACATTTTGGGTTGATTAATTGCTTTCAAGAGAAAGAATATGACATGACCCGCGTAATACAACTCGATTTTCACACGCTGAACACTTATTAATCACGTATCATAGAGAGTTCTATAGTCAACATCTAGTTTCTTTGTAGTTCATGTAACTATAAGAAAATAACTTTGCAAATAGAGTATAAATAGAGGTCACAAATACATATTCTCATGAAATGAAGTCTTTGAGTAGAGGACCTTCCGTGATTCACTTTAGATGCAATCAATCCTGAATTGAAATTAAGTATCAATTCTTTATCCAAAGGATGATTAAGTTTCAGATCAACACAGAACAGAAACTTAATTAAATGTTTTTAAATAAAATAAAACGATCTGTGAATCACAAAAATTCCAAAGGTCTAGTTGTTTAAAATATCTTTTAGAAAAAATGACATATGCCAACCATGACAACCAATTTTTCATTTTTTTTTTGGGAGAAAAACTAAAAGTGAGACTCTCTAATAATTATTTGGCATCTCACAGTTGGATATTAATTCCTATGTCAACATTATAAAACGTTGTTTGAAAAATATTAAGTGATAAACAGTTTATAGATAATCCCACTTTTAAGAAAATCTCCTTAGCATTTCTCTCTTTCTAGATAGCTGCTAAAAATGTGGATATATGAACTGACAAAAACTACACCAGGTCCCCTTAAAATGATTATAATACAAGATTTAGGTTAGTTGCTTCCCCCTCACGGGATTTTATTCAGAGAATGCCATAACTCACGCATGCATACATGAATTTGTCAAATAAAGAGACACAGGAAATATATTTTAAATAAGAGATCTCTTCCCCCTCCTTACATCTTTGTTACTTAACCAACACATGCTGTTGGAAGTTTATGAATTAAATAAAGAAATTTGATAGGGACATATACCTAACGAAATTAATGAATTTCGAATCCCTGTTTCATTCCTATGAACCGTTGCACAAACCATGAACAAGAGGGCCGCATGGTTAATCAAACTCTCTTGTGCTCTTAGAACGACAGGTTATCAGTAAGTTAAGACAGACTATTCATTGTTCGTCCAAGACCACGATGGTAAATTCACTGCCCTCCTTGTCTATGTTGATGACATTATCTTGGCAAGGGATAACATACAAGCAATTGAGAACACCAAATCTCTCCTCTATGAAGCAATTCAAGTTGAAAGACCTTGGATAATTAAAATATTTTATGCGTATCGAAATTGCTCACTCTAGCAAGGGCGCTCAATATTCCCTCACAGTGAAAATATGCCCTTAAAATACTTGAGGATGCAGATTACCTTGGCGTGAAACTAGCCACCTCTCACATGGAGAAAAACTTATCACTCAGGAAGGACGAGGGAAAATGCATCGCTGGTCCTTCTTCTTATTGATGGCTCAGCGGGCGATTAGTCTACTTGACGATCACGCACCTTGATTTGGTCTATGATGTCCACATTCCGAGTCAATTTATGAAGAAGCCTCAAACTCCACTCTTAGAGGAAGCCTACCAAGTCTTACAACATGTTAAGCATACACCAGGGCAAAGTATTATCCTCTATGCAAGAAGTCCATTCAACTGAATGCTTTTTGTGATGCGGATTGGGCCAGATGTCATGACACACGTCGTTCTACCACCAGATATTGTGTAATTCTTGTTGAATCCTTGATCCCCTGTAAGATTAAGAAGCAAAAACTGTGTCACATTCCAATGTGGAGGTGGAGTACCGTTCAATGGCTGCAACTTGTTGTGAAGTCACTTGGCTGGAATATGTTTTACAATAGTTGTGTATCAAACATAAACATCCAATCAAGTTATACTGCGATAATAATGTGGCACTTCACATCGCTTTGAATCCGATCTTTCACGAAAGAACCAAACATACATAGAAATTGGCTGCCACCTCGTACAAGAGAAGGTTCAAAGTAAAATGATTAGGACATCTCACATTTCAACCATGGAACAGCCAGCCGACTTCTTCACAAAGTCACAAAGCTTATACCAATTCACGACTTTGTTCTGCAAGTTAGGAATAATCAACATCCATTCCAACTTGAGGGGAAAAGTTGAGTAAAGCAAAGTCTGTCAGTCTCTTGATTTAAGGAGTCCATCTCCTTGGTTACTTTACAGTCATCTCATTGCTTTTCATTCACATTGGAGCCTAACTCGCATAATAGCTTGTATGGGCCTTAATTTCAAGATCTTGATTAATCTATGTATCAGTCTCTTGTACCTATAACTCTTTTTCTTAATGAAAACCATTCACACAAGATAAAAGGTTTTACAGTGTTTTATATAACACAATTATTATATGAATCGTACATATGCAATAAGTTTCATTTGCCTATGTGTTTTTGAGGATACAGTATTCATCAATGTAATATGAATTTGTATCAAAATATAGGGTGGTAAAATGTAGCATCGTTCCAAGAAAATGAGTGTCGCAATGCTAACAAATTACAAACTATGACCATTTTATATATTAATACAATCCAAATAATAATATGAGAATTTTAACGAAAAGTTCCTAATATTGTTCATTTTAATGAAAAATCATATTTTTACACTAAAATGTCAATCATGGTACTATTCATTTTACCTTTTATTTTGTCCTTATCGTTAAAACTCAAAATTTTTAAACCATTTTTATTAATTTTCCTATAATATATGGGGATCATCAAAACCTAAGAACTCTTTTTGATTGCCAAAAACACCTTGACTGCGGTAGAAACACAAATTAATTGATATCAAACCTCGCCAAAAACACCTTCATATTCGCAAGATATACTTTGAGCTGTAATATGTACTTGGCAAGATTGTTATGATGACTGCAAAAGAATCATCGATTGATTCGATTCACAATAATGAATTTGACAAACTCAGAACAATGATGACATTCATTACAGTATATAGATTTGGAACTTTGACACGTGAATCTGAATTAGTTAACACTAAAGACATCCAAGTTTCAATTTGATTCGATAAAGTTAAGAAATGTGCAGTAAAGCTATCGCTTGTGCATGAAGGGTTCAAGTATATTTGGACCCTAGAGAATTTTCCACCACAAATAGCCACTTTTTAGGTAAAGGTTTATAACTTTAATTCCCTCAATGAAACAAAATTTGAAAGTGAAATTATTACTAGGTACAAAAACCCAGTTGAGGATTTGGCAGACAAGAACGCTTGTTGGTCCTTAAAGTCTATTAGAAAGAGAGATTTTTCAGTGTGTAGGGAATATAGTTCGGTACACCAAGTGTCATAATATAAGTGGTTGAATATTTGGAAGAGAAAAAAAATTTTAACCACTTATATTATGACACTTAATGTATCAGATCGTGTTCTCAAGACACTGAAAAATTCCTCTATTCGAAAAGGAGTTTGAAGAAGTAGGGTTCATACATATGATCTCCTTAGAAAGTCCAATTAATTTTGATATGATTATGAGACAAGGTTAATAAAACCAACCCTTGGAGGCTTGGAGTAGTTTCAAAAGCTTCGAATCGAAAAGAGCATAAACGTGAAAATATCAATTAAAATAAATATATGTATATATATATATATATATATATATATATATATATATTAGAATTGTTAGTAGGATTACTCCTCTCATTGTGGTCTCATAGTTGAAACTCTGTACTTTCTAAATTGTTTAATTATTTAACGTCACCAAAATAAAATAAATGAACGAATAGTCTTTTTGATTAAACGTAGAATGATAATCAAATGCCTAAACTAAAAGAGTAGAGTTCTTGCATTATAGGGTGGGTTCAAACTTCGTGAGTAGCTAATCTAACATCTAATCTAATAAAATTTATCGTTTAAAAAAAAAAAAACTATTTTCGATTTGGTATTGTTATTAGTATTAAAAAAAGGGAGTTTTAACGAAAAGTCCGCGGTACTGTTCATTTTAACGAAAAACCATATTTTTACACTAAAAAGTCAATCCTGTTACTATTCACTTTACCCTTTATTTTGTCCTTATCATTAAATCTTAAAGTTTTCAAACTTTTTTCATTAGTTTTTCTTTAAAAAAAGTGTATCTTACATTCCTCTGTCTTATTTACTTCACTATAAAAAATGCATGATAAATAGATTTTTATGAGTGCAATTTGTTATACACGCGCTAATAACAGCTTTATTCGATATGATCAT